CAAAGACCTCTTCCAAACACCACACAATCTTTGCTTCAGAGAAAACAGATGAGGAGCTTCAAGAGAGTCAGGTGAAGTTGGTGTGGGACCTCTTCCAGGCTTGTTGCTGATCCAGACCAAATCACACCCACTTTTCCCACTGCTCCACCTTTGAGAGCTCTGCAGTGCAGTGTCCTGGCTGCTGTTCGGCTGTGGAGCACCTACAGCCTGATCTGGGGCTCTGCCCTGCTCCAGCAGCAACATTCCCAAGGGTCCCTACTGCCTATCAGTGCCTAAATTCCTGCCACATCACCACACCACGCCAGAAGCCTTAAAGCAAAGTTAAACACAAGCAGAAACTCCTGCTATCAAACTAGGGCAACACCTGTGCCACAGAGCAGACCCGTATGAACCTCTAGAAGCTCCATCTCCCCCCGTGGTGCCCATAACCTTCACAGACAAGCTGCCTGGAGGGAGGGAGCTGAGAGGTCTGGAGATGTGCTCCTTTGCAGAAGGGGCTCTCTAGCAACCAACTCCTCAGCCAGCATCTTGCTCTCCGCAGGGTGAGGGAGTGGCGCAGGCCAGCAGGAAAGCCGGCCCTTTGGCCTGCGGCTGCTGTCTGTACACATCGCTCTGAACCTCTGTGTTCAGCACCATCCTTGCCAAAGCCCCCCCAGGATATGCACGTTGCTCCCCCCCCTTGCTATCTCACCCTCCTGCCCCCCCAGCTAACAGCTACACAGAGCACTGTGGTGTGGGGGGGGTTGAGGTCCTCCCTGAGCTGGCACCCCTACCAGGCACGGCTCTCGTAGCATCCCTAGGGCACAGGGGTCACAGCAGACTTTCTGGAGAGGAGAACAGATGCTCCCAAAGATCGTGATGGTCCCCACCACACACAGAAGGCACAGGATGTCCCAGCAGCTTACAGCTCCTCTCCTCCACTGAGCAATGCCACTTCAGCCTCTAACCCTCCACACTGCAGACAGATGCGATGGTACAAGAGCATCTGCTAAAGGCGGAGATGTCTTTTTTCAGGACCTGCACATTCAGCACTGTTATCAGCAACACATCAGAGCTTTAGCAGTGAGCAGAAGCAAGATACCAGGCTTTAATGAACTAATCTGGGCCTGCAGAGACTTTGTTCCAACTAAGTAAAGACTCCCCAAGCCTCCACTCAAGCCCCATCAGACCTAAGCCTCCAGCAACGTGACTGTGAGCTGCAATATCGTGCTCCCCATGCGACACTCCAGCTCTTGCTGCTACCAGGCTCCAACTTGCAGAAGGAGGATCCATAAGGAGGAGGAGAAGAAATTGCCCAAGCGTCTCACTTGAGCAATGTTACAGGGACAGGCGGGAGTGGTCCCTGCTTTTAGACCCACACAGGTACAGCCTCTGTGCCCACTGCAGGAACACAGGTAAGAACCAAAAGCAGTCCCAACACCTCAGAGCTCAGTTCAGATCCAGACCCAAATGGCAGGGGTGCTTGGTGCTGGCGAGTTTGTGCACCTCCCTGCCCAAAGCCATGGCAGGAGGGCAAAGCAGGACCCCAAATCTCCTCCAGCGTGCCTCCGTCCCTGCCCTGATCTGTGGGATAATAAATAGTGATCAGTCTTGACAGAGAGCATCCAAGTGCCTGGCGTGCTGTGGAAGGTGAGGGCAAGGCAGGCTGCTGCAGGAGTGATCCCTGGCCTGCCTCTCGAGATGACCCCAGAGAATTCACACTGCCCGCTCCCTCCTCTTGAAAGGTGATAACAAAGGTGTGAGTTTCTAAGCCTGACTGGCTCATAGAGTTAAAACCCAGTGAACCTGACCAGATCAGTGATAAAGCCAGAGCTGTGCTGAATTGGTCATTCTCTTGCTCTCTCCTTCTCTTGCCTGACCCCTCTTTTGCATGGTTCAGAGAATCGGCAAAACTCCCTGACACAGAAACTGGAAGACACTCGATCTGTCGGTAACAATTTTCAGCGGCTTTGATGGGAGCAGGCAGAGCACAGGGAGGCTAAGAAAGGGAAAGTGAAGAAAAAAAGGAAAAGCATTTCTCCTGCCTCCCGTTCTCCTCGCTTCCTGTCACTCACTCATTTTTCCTTTGGCTTTCCCGGTGCTCCGAGAGCATCTGTTCTTTGCTGATGGAGAGATAAAGCAGCCCATGAGCTGCAGGAGGCATCCCAAACTGTGTCATAAAACAGAATAATTCATCAGAGAGGAAAGACTGTCTGCACACAGATGAACTTTCTTATTTTAAGCCCTTTCTCTTGAAGAGTTCTGGTCCCCTATTCAGGCCTGGGGCTGCCTGCACTGACACAGAGACCTGGAGCAGGTAGGAAGGCCAGTGCAGAAGGCTGTACTAAGCACACGGGGCCCAGCTTTCATCACAACAAAACCAGACCTTCACATTGCCATACAAGCTGCACCTTTAGATAACTTTCACCCTTTGAAGGGTCAGTGCTTGAAAACAAACCACCTGTACAGAGACGGGATGGAAGAGCACCAGAGGAGAAATAGCAAGGTTTACAGCAGCAAAAACGTGCAGGAAGCACTTGGCTACTGAATCGCAGTGAGTCAGGTTCCTACATTTAGCCCAGGCACCACCTACCTGAGATAGCAGCAGGATGACAATGGGGTGATAACCACCATGAAGCCTTCTCCTTCAAAAGACAGATCACATCTGGCTCAGAGTCTATGTAGTATTTCATGGCTAGATGAGACCATGATTTTTGCACCCTCCGCCCTTTCTCTTGGCACAGACAAACTCACAAGGAAAGCTTTACTCCTCCATGGTGGAAACCCCACCAGTGTGTTAACAGCAGGAAAGGGTCCCAGGGTTGAAGAAAGGGCTGAAATCTAACTTTGGAAGTGATCAGTGCAGGAGTTTCTCTCCCCATCCAGCTCTTGGCAGTGCCACAATCAAGCTTCCATGGTGCCCACCCTCCCTAGATCCCAGCATTGTGGCACATCAGCAAAAGGAAACCCTAGAGGTGAAGTTGCCCTCCCTGAGACTGTTGATCCAGAGCTGTGCCAAAGGCAGCTGTTTGTTCCCTCCTCCAGAGACAATTGCTTGTGCTTGAGACACTGCTGCTGCTCTCAGATCTGGCACTTAGGTCTGCTGCAGGCACCCTGCCCATGTCCCAGGAGAGCCACGAAAGGGCCTCAGGTGTTTGGTGACTTACCCCCAGCTAGCCAGAGAGCAGCGACCATCATCCCACTGCCGGGCCAGGTGCTGCACACCAACACGCCCAGTGGCAGTGCAGCCGCAGCCCGGCACCCATTGTCAGACTGCTTATGCTGGCGCTCTGACACTGCCCACCACCACCACACCAGCTCTGGGCTTATCCCACCACGGCCATTTGAAATGAGCAGTCAAGGAGCTGGATGCCAAGGATAAATAAGGTTTCTACTGATACTGCTTCCACAGCAGGATCCTAGAAAATTTAGCTGACCTTTGTTAAATAAGCTCAATGGGTCCCTTGAGATACAGTGAATTACTGGGAGCCACGCAATGAATATCTGCCCCGAGCCACAGCCTGCAGAAAGGTTTTTCCTGTGCAAGAGGCTGCAAGCCATCTCTGGGCAACATATTTCTTTTATGTAAAGGGGAGTAGGGCACCCCAACTTACTGCCAAGGAAGCGAGTTGTGCCCTATCTATAAAACCACTCAAGGGTACAGGAGGGTGCACCAGTGAAGCTTTCGAATTGTGGCTCAGGAAACTTCCCAGCAAGAAGGCTGAGTGGCCAACAGAAAGCTGAGCAGGGATAGCCCCTTCAGAGGGAACTAAACTAGGACAGTTTCCAACTGGCCAAGATGTGTCCAGCATCACATTTCTGGGCATCCACAATTGCTCCCGGTGTCATTACTGCTTCTTTTCACAACATCAGAGAGCAAGAAGGAACAGGGACGGGAGAAATGAGATCAGAAATTATTTTCTTCTTGTCCTCCTTTAAGTAACCCATGGTTAAGTGTTTAGACAGATATCTGGATTGCCCCTTCATGGCAAATTGAAAAAACATCTGCTTCAGGTTGGTTTGAGTTCCCTTGGTTTTTCTGTTCCCTCCCCCCTCACCCCCCCAATTTTGACTTCTCAAAAGTTTTAACTGAAACAGCTCACTGTTTCTAGCATCCATAAAAACATGAACATTTTAATTTTTGAAACCTATTTCAGTGGCCCCAAGGGGCCACCTCATTTCAGTGAGGTGGGGGGAGGCCAGGGCAGGAACAGGGATGGCTAGAGAAAGAGGATCATTCATTGTGGCTGAACAAGCACAATTCCATTTGCCAGGCTCTGAAATGAGAAACTCGTTGCTGATGAAATGAAAAAAAGGAAAGAGCTCCTGTCATTTTTCTCCTTTTCTCCACCCCAAGTCTTTCTTTCCTTTTTCTCCCCCTGCAACCCCCCCATGCCTTCCAAACAGGCTCTCTGGAGATGAAGGAGGAGATGCGCAAAAAGGCCGGTGTCTCAGGGGGAACCCACACCTCTCTCAATATTCAGAATATTAGATGTGAGATGACAGAGGAGTTATCAATCTTATTTTGATAGAACGAGGAGTTTCATTTGTTAGCGCAGGATGTGAAAGAGGCCTTTCAGAGACATTCACTGACTTTTCAAAACACATTTTACCACTGGAGCTTTGTGACTGCTCATTGTACGCAGTGTCCAAAGGGGAGCCACATCCACACCTGCCAGCCTGTCCTAGGGTAGAGAGCAGGGGAGGTGCAGACAGGCAGAAGCACACACAGTGGCAGTGGTGCTGTGCAGAGTGATGGCCAGCTCTTAGCTGGTGGAAAGCCTTATACCCTACTTCACTTGGCCTGTAACATCTGATGATGCAGCCCAAAAGATGTAAGGAAGTCAACCAGAACCTCTAATGACACCAGTGACTACAGCATCTGTGAAGCCAACTGGGCTTAATCCTTTCCCTTAACTGCAGACTCACCCCAAGCCCTCTTTCCATCAGCACTTCCTCACCTCCCTAATCCTAGTGCACCCAGAGAGAAGCCTGAGCAAGGACAGGAGATGATCACATACCACACACAGCCATCCGGAGAACTGGGTCCTGACTGACCACAGAGCAGCAGCAGAGCTGGGATTAGGCTCCAATGGGACCAGTGGGAAACAAGGCTGTTAGGGCAGCTCCTGGGGGAAGAAAAATAAATACTGTCAGCATTAAAAAGTTTCCAAGTGAAAGACAAGTCAACTACCTAAAGAGCAGAGACAGGGCAGGACTACTCACTGGTAAAGAAAGATAGCAGCGTTGTGGGCCATGGGCTGCGAGTTATGTATTCTGTTTCATGCGGTTTTCTGGCTTCTTGTCAATCCTGCTGTTTATCAGGCTGGCATTTCTAACCCTTCCCTATTTTCTGTACTGTGTGATCCACAGCCCCCAAGCTTGTGCATTGTCCCCTTTTCGGGGAACCAGAAGGGACAGGTTTCAGTCTTCTCCTAATTCATCTCTTTACACTGCCTGATTTTTCCTAAGCATCAGCAGTTGTATTTGGGGCTGAACCAGCAACTGTGTGACCCAGTTCTCTCTTCACTTGCTACTAACTAGTGTGAATTGCACACAGATCAGATATATACAGGCTCCAGAAACCTGCAACAGACATGGGAGTTGCTCTGACCAACATTTTCAAGCCTTAAAGATAAAGGTTTGACTTCTAAGTGAGCATTTACTAGTACTGAGAACATTCTGCTACTCAAAACTTAGCATAAGCAGCACACCCATTCAGGGGTAGGATAAAAACACGGATACCGCAAAATCCAAGGTTAGGTGTTGAATATTTAAGAACCAGCTGGAGGAGATAAGTAAAACTCCCTTGTTTTCCAGGGAGCTACACTGATGTAAGCTAACTAAAGGTTCAGGCCTCCAAGTTTCATTCAGACAAGTTGGAAATGCTGGACTGCTGCTGTTTCCTGCAGAGCCAGCATATCGCAACGAGGTGCTGTTGTTTATGACAGACCACTGTGCAGGAAAAATCTCCCAGTCTCAGACGTGGCCTTTCCATCAGAGGTCACCAAAAAGTCATCAGTGATTTCATCAGATATCAGCCAACTCAATTGCCCTTACGTGCACACATAGCAGTAACACCGTACGGGTCACACTCATTTCCTTGTGTGAGTCAGTCACTCTGAGCCCAAGGCCACCAGTTAGGAGAAAGAAAGATCGCCTGAGATCCTGAATTAGATTTCTGCCTTGGCTCAGATCTCGCTCCCAGAAACATGCCTACTAAGTGATTACAAGAATTATACACCCAGTGTAGTGTTACAGGAGGCTGTCCAAGGGAGCTGTACTGCAACAGCAGAGATCAGCGCGGTCCCGCCAACACCCCAGCATCTCAACACCAGTTGTGGACCTGCTCCGACATCTGCACCCCACAAATTTGGCTACTGTCTGAAGTCAGCATCAGAAAGACAAAGAGATGAAAGAGTAATACAGACATTTCCCACAGAGAAAACACTTGTTCTAGCTGTCAATGATTTACAGGGTCACGTTGTTCTTTGTTGACAGATTTTATTATTTATCATATTCATTGCTGGTGCTCTAAGGAGCCCCACATGCAGGAGCTCGGGCTGCGTATTGCAAGGTGCTGCACAAGTACAGAAAGCTGCCAGGGAGATAAAGGCACCTGAGTCCTGCCAGCTGCTGCCACTGCAGAAGATGCTGCAGATTCACAGCAGGACGTAAAAGAGGCGGTAGGGGGAAGATGGCAGGTGTCCAGAGTGCCAGAACATTTCTCAGCTCAGCACAGAACAAAAAGATTCTTTTCACTCCATCAAGTTTATAGAGTTAAGTTCACAAATGCTAAATGCTTGCATCATTTTTAATGCTTTCTTACTGGCCACAAGGCTATCAAAATGCAGAGGAACTGCCTGCGCAGCCAGAATCCTGAACAGGAGATTACCCAATAATAATAATTATTATTGGTATTATTATTACAGATTTATACAAGCTACCTCCATCAAGAGAGTATTGTATGCCCCTTGTGAAATAACATTTACTTTGCTCCTTAAAGACAAATTAGAGGCTTTACAGGTTTAAAATATATATATATACACACACTGGTAAGCTACTCTAAAGCAGTGGGGGAAGGCAGCAGCCTACAGCAAACACACACAGATGTACCTGCTAAGTCTGCAGTCACCTTTCCCATGGTGTAAATCAGGAGCAACCTTCCTGGAGTCATAGCACCAGATACTCCACTAATACAGATCAGTGCAGCTCACTGGCTTCATACGAACACCCCACAGCCACAATACAGGCACGACTGGGCAGTCAGGCCCATCTGGGCTCAGCCCATGCCCGTATGCTGTTGTTCATTCAAAGGCTGACCTCAGCACCCAGCAGCTCCCGTGAAGTCCCCACTCCACTACAGTGTGCACTGAGCAGTGCCAACACACTGCTCCTGCTTCAACAGCTTGCAGTGCAGGGATTGAAACCAGGTATATTCTGGATGTGTTCTCAGGTGATAAAAACACCACCAAATCTCCGAATCTTACGGTGAGCCCATACAGGCCCATATTTTCCTTCAAGCCTCAGCTCCTACCTAGTGAGTTTGAGATCTTCCAGAAAAAGGCTTCTCATCCCTAAAGCAGCCTCACAACCCAGACCTTCAGGCTGGTCTTTCTGCCCACTTCTGGCCTCCATCTGCACCCTCAGCACACGGCATATCAGCTACTGCCAGGGTTAGCTCTCAATCCTGTGGGTGCCTGATCAGTCTAGAACTAACTAGAAGCCTGAAGAGCAAAACAGCAGAAGCAAAGACTGGGCAACAAAACACAACTACAACCCTGATGAGCCAGAATTGACACAAACTCTGCTCAGAGAGATTTCAGTGTGTCTCAAGTTGGAGTCAGAATTACCAACTCAACTTGCACATTTATTTTACTTACTTATTATTCAGGACTAAAGAAGTCACTTATCTCTGGCAGGAAAAAAGTGAAGTGAAATACCAACACACTGGGAAAGTAAATAAGTGTACCACTGCTCCGAGACAGCAGTGTGGGAGCTTTATAACACAGCTGGCAATCAGAGCCCAGGAGATGGACAGTGTCTCCTCGCTGCTCTCATATGTCATTTGTGAGTGTTAGTTTAGTTAAAGGGAGTAAGCTCCAAGTAAGCCGCCAAGATCCCCACCTCAAAGACTTCCAGGAGGTTCTCAGAAGAGCTTCAGGGCCGTGTCCCACAGTGCCTGTGCCAGAAGGATCCTCCAGGATCTCCTTCCACCTCTGATTCTTTCATCCCACAAAATTGCAGAGTAGATGAGGTTGGAAAGGACCCCAGGAGACCATCTAGCCCAGCCTCCCGCTCAAACCAAGGCCAGGAGGAGGTTGCTCGGGGCTGCATCCTGTCAGGTTTTGAGTGTCACCGAAGACAGAGACTCCACGACATCTCTGACAACCTCCTCCTGTGTTTGAGCACCCTACAAAATGATTATCACCCTACAAAATGATTGGTCACTTATCACAACTGATCTCATTCAAGGGGCTACCTGGCCGCTCCATTTGGGGCCTACTTTTTCCACTTAGCCTCCTGCCAGCACTTCTCTGGTTAAAGGAAAAGCAGAAAGTTAAAGAGCAGCAACAGCTGCTCCGGTGTCTTCCCCAGATGTTCAGTGATGTTCAGCCCGTTAACAGTTTGAGAAATCATTCGTCAGCAAAGGTTTTGCTGCCTTGCAGGCTTATCTCTGAAACAAGATGGTACTTACAGGAGAACCTGCTCTCACCCTGCCACGCTCAGTACCTAGAAGCCCCTTGTCATTTCATAACCCAGCAGACTGTTCTGTCTTTGGGATGCAGAAGTTACTCAATGCCATGAAGGACATGGATGCGAAGAGGCTCCCACACCTGTTAAAGCCACCTGCCTGCACTCACAGAAGTCAGGCTGAGTGTTTCACAAACAGAAGTTAGCCCAGACTCCCTGGGTCCCATGCCCCAGCACACCTCCCCGCTGCCTCCTGGATTACCACACAATTACCATTATGGTTCTCTGCTACGGGGCGTGATTGCAGACGTCAGTGCAAGGGAGAAGTGCAACAACCGAGTGTCAATGTTGAGATCAGGGCACGGCCACCAGCAGGGCGGAGCAGAGCAGCTCACAGCCCAAATCACAGCCGGTCAAATTACAAGCAGCAAGGGGCAGCCTGGGCAGGCCCGTGTTAGGACCTCTTAACACCCGGTCTCAAGGACTTGGAACTGAACCACCGTGACAAGAGCTAATTGCCAGAGGGATACAGTCAGGACCAATTACAAGTGTTAACTGCCAATTAAAATGACAGGGCCAATATCAGGGCCACTGCAGAGATCAATTATGGGATTACAGCAAAGGCCCGTACAGAGATGAGAACAAAGCCCACCTGCAGCCACACACAGAAACCCAGGTAAGGAGCTTCCAGGAGTGGAAGATGACTTTCCCTTGAGGCAGCTGTTAGGCAGAGGCACAGTGTCCAAACACCAACCTGAATGAGGTTCAGTGAAGCTCAGGAAACCAGGCTGATTCACCCCAGCTGGAGTTTCAGCCTGGAGGTCTTCAGTGTTGGTAGGAGTGGTGTAAGGAGACCTTCCTTCTCCCCAGTGTTACCAGTCTGGTCATAACGAGCTACCAAACTGCATCTACAGAGGGCTCCCCAGTAAGGAGCAGGGAGCACAGCTCCACCAGCTCTGAGGAACCAGCCAGGTGTGAGATCCACACCTCCACCACCACTTCGCTAGTATTAACGCCAGTGAAACCAGGATCACAGATTTCAAGCTCAGCCTTGCTCCCTCCATGCATAATTACCTGCCCAGCCATTACACAGGGCATGAAGGGGCTTCCCAGACCCCTGCTAAGGCCTCCAGGTGTTTCAGTGCAGTGGAGCTTTGAATAACCTTTGGGTTTTGCTTCCATTTGCAGAGCCCACACATTGTGCTTAGGGCCTGGGCCACCTGGTGAGCTCACACAGACCTTCTCCATACACGTTGAAGGCATCTAGCCCACAGACAGATGGTACACAAAAACCATCCCTCCTGTGCCCTCTAAGACCACCTAGGGCAGGAGGGTGGGCACAACATGAGGCAGTCAGGCAGAGAAGCCATGCTGGAGTGGAGGCACGCACATGCAGATTTCCCCAGGGCCTGAACTTTGATTTGTTAGAAGGAAAATGCCTGGGATCGTATCTACTTAAATGCAAAGCCCTGTTCCAGGTATAATCTCCCCTACTACCAGCTTAGCCCAGGATTGCTACATGCCCATGCAGACTGACCACAGCCACCTTTGGGGTAGGACACACAGCACTCCAGACTTCCACATGCGGAAGAGACCGTGATTCCCTACACACTAGCCCCAGAAAGGCTAGATTTTGTAGCACTGAATACCAGAGGCTGCTCAGATCTCTTTGGGGCTGCAGGACCCACAGCAACAGGGAAATTAGCTGCAGTTTGGCAGCACACCTGCACCTACAGCACAACCAGGAGGACACCAAGACCCCATCCCACAAGGCCTGGCTCCTTACCAGGCAGCCACCATCACACAGCTCAGCATGCAAGCTATGCCCCAGCTCTATGCCCCGGGCTGGGGAACGATGCCTCCCCCACCAGCTGGAGGAGATTCCCCACATGCCATGCCTTGCTGAGGCAGCCAGTCAGCACTGCGCTACCTTCCCAGCTCACCTCCGAGAGGCTGCTGCAAACCCAAAGAGACATTATCTTACCTGCCACCGTGTTACCTCCTTGACTGCCAGCAACGGCAAAGGGACTGGTGAAAAATGCTGTAAATTAATTAACATCAGACCTCTTGTAGCTGTTTGTTACTGTAAACAAACATTTTAATATGCAGTAATTAATTAAATCTGCCATGCTGTCCCCCTCCTCCCATTGATCTTTCTTCAGCTTTTCTTCTGCTCTGCCTCATCTTTTTCGCTTGGTGAAACAGATCACTTGCAAACAGAGACACTGCTTTCCCAGTGGTCCAACAGCAGCGACCCAATTCAAAGAGATCACTTTCCTCTTCTTAATCAAATGCCATTTCCTTTTTTTTGCCCATGCATACTGGTTTCTTCTCCTCCTGTGCACATTCATTTCTCTCTCTGACAATTTCCTTCCTATTTATCAAACCCAAATATGAAGCTGAATATAAAACAAAGTTTTTGGTAAGGATTTAAACAATGCCCCAGCACTTCCCAAGTTGTCACCCATACCAAAGACTTTTATCAGATGATGTATCTTGGCCCTGTCTACTTTCCTCCGGCAGAACCTTTCCAATCCCATCCCACCACATCTCTAAACTATTTTATTCTCTCATCTCTAAGCAGAGCCCAAAGCAGAACCCCAAGTTCCCCCGGCAGCCATAGGCAAGCTGCATACACTGCTCAGCCAAAACACATTTCCCAGCTACGTTTCCCTGGCAGCTCCAGCTTATATTTGGTGATACATTTACAGCCCCACAGTAATACTGCTCTGTATTTTACCTTTTCCCATCCCTAAAGATTAACAGAAGCCAACTGTAACCCTACGATTTCTGCAAAGCTGCAGAGAGAGCCCTGCAGCCCCTGCCCAGACAGAAAGCTTTCTGACAGACGTGGTCACTTGGAACCTGGAGGGCTAGTGTTGGGCTCTACGGCCAAACCAGGGGTAAGAGAAAGAACAGCATGCCAGTTGGTGCAGAGCTGAAAATGCATGGCAGAAGGCAAGCAGCTACTGTTAGGAGACCTGGGAAAGGAGAAATTCTACTGCTGACAAGGGACATCTCCAACTAACCAGGAAAAGGATGATTTAAGTAAAAGAACTGTAGCTACAACTGAATAAAAAATCAGCCCAGCACTCCAGTTACGGTGGGTTGAAAAGCATCACTGAGGAGGAGCAGGGCTGCTCCACAGCAGCAGATTAGCTAGGAAGCAAAGCCAGCCACAGCACAGGCAACACTCACCAACTAGAGCAGGCTCCCAACATCCAAACAACATTACCAGAGTGGGGTCCATCAGTGTTCCTGGACAAGACAGAGTGTTGGATTAGGTTCAGTGTCCTTCCAGGGAGCCCAGCCAGGAGCAGCATGAGATGGTGCTGCCAACAGCACTCTGAACCAAGCTACACCTCAGTCTGAGATCCTTCCACAGGACAGGGCTGAGGAGAAGCACCCCCAACCAACAGAGAAAGGGCCAGGGGTGGGATGTGATGAAAGCTCCCAGGCCAATGGGCAGAGGGTGTGTGGGTGGGAGGCGCAGGTGAGGCCCATCAGGCCGCTCAGGTGCAGGGGCCGGCGCAGGGCCTTGCCTGCAGCATCCCCTCCTGTCACGGGTGGCTTTGCCCTGCACAGCCAGCTGCCTCCCATGGCTCCATATGGGGCTGCTCAGGGGCAGGAATACAGCACTTCAGGGGACTGCAACCTAGTATGCAACCAAGGCATGAGCATGGAAGAGGGACGTGATGTGGGGGACTCCAAGGATGTTTAGGCCACTTTCTTCTCCCGGTTTCACTGCAAATATCCATCCATTCCAACTAGTCCTGGCCCAGTCCTGGTTCTACTTCACATTTTCAACTTACCATTTCCATGCACCCAAAATAAGGGTAATATTTGAATGCCAAGAGTGCGTGGTGTCATTGGGTGAGGACCAGGTCTGCAGGGCCCCATAGAGGTGTCTCTATACGTGCATACAGATGGAGGTGTGTGCACGAAAAGGAATTCATGTACAAGTACACTCGTGTAATAAATGCTATGGCAACGCATGCTGTTTGAGGGATGACTGTCCTCATCCAGAGGCTGTACCATCGCCACCTTTGTGCAGCATCTCCCAAGACGTTTTATAAATGTTCAGTGGCAGCTTACTGCCACAGAAATAGCTGCTGGTTTGGGTGGAACTAAGCCAGCCCTGCGTGAAGTGGGAGGCAGCTGGGGCAGAAATGAATTACAGTTCCCCGTCTGTGCTGGGTTATACTGGAGCACGGAGAAGTTGTCTTTCCAGGCAACCAAAGCCATCACCCAAAGAACTGGGCCAAGGCCAGGAGCTCTGAGGTCCTTTCTGCTGTCTTAATCACTTGGTGTGACCCTTGTTCCCTCCAGGGAACAGGATTTCCACGGCCCAAACACTTCGCACGCAGGAGATCGCTGGCTCCAGTCCATGGCTGGGGAGCACTCCCCAGCCTCCACAAGGCTGCCATTTGTGCGGCTCCTAGGGTGGCCCGGTGCCTTTCAGATCATGGGTTTCAGCACAAAAGCTGGCTTCAGCGAAGCCAACCAGAGCCGTGAGTACCCGGCACCTCTCAGGAGCAAGCCCCGCATTTGCAGTTTTATTATCCATTTTTCTTTTAATGTCCTGCACACTTGAGAAACCCTGTGTGAGAGTCAGAATGAGAGAGAGGGAAAAAGAGAGAGCGAGGGAGAAAGAGAGCTCATCATGCCCATAAAAGGGACAGATTCTGATTAGCTGAAGTTATAAAAATGATTTATACTTGCAAACATTATTTCTACTTGTATTGTTTGCCTGCGAGCGTTAACATCACGTCATGGACACTGTAGCCAGACTCAGGCATCCCTTGAGACGGGACAGATGGCTAACGTCCCCTTCCCATCAAAGAAACCCCCCAGTGCAGAATTGGGGTGACCAGAAGAAAGACTTTGCTCTGGCTCTTGGCACTTCCAAGCCTCGCGGGAACATTCATCCTAGCGCAGCCAAACCAGCGTCCCAGGCACCGAGAAGAGCACTCCTGATGTCAGCTCCTTCCCCTCTCTGCTTGGCATTTCCTGAGCAGGAGAAGCACGCTGAGTCCTGCCTATATTGTGTGCTTTCCCCGCCTCCTGCCAGCCCAGATCTGGGTTTATTTCCTCATCCGTGATTATTGTAAAGAGGAGCAGAATGAAATGCAGATGCAAAACATGCTCGTAAGAATTTCCTCTCTCTCTCTCCCCCATCTGCCAGAGAATAGATTTTAATCTTTAATCCATGAGCAATCAGCGAACACTAGCGAATTGCAAATTACAGATGTTTTACTGTCTTTGGCATTTTTAGCTTCCTCGCTTCCCCACTGCCACTCAGTGTCTTTCTCACATCCTCCCCTCTTCTGCATTCATCGAATGCCACGCGCCATCACCAAAACCATATGACACTGTCATCATTTGGTAATTAAACCTTTACTCACTTTAAATACGCAAAGCTGGCTGGGGTAAGCAGCACTTAACCCTTTCCTGACAGGCTCTGCGCGTATCTGGAATGAAGGGAAGGGGGATGGTGGACAGAACGGGAGGTAAGGGGAAGCCCGAAGTTTGAAACCGTGTCCAAGTACTGAGGGCTCTCTTTCAAAGCACCCCTGCTCTCAGAGAGGCCAGAAGAGATGGAAAAGGCTTCTTCCCATTCACCTTGTTGTCTGAGTGTAGGGCAGCACTGGAGGAGAAGAAGCCAGTCCCTGCTGCAGGACACGCCAGGGGCTGCTGGAAGACACCAGGCCCCTGCCAAAAACGCTCTAAGCTGCACCCCACTTTGCACCGAGCACTTACGGACTGAGCCCTGGCTGTGTCAGGTTGCTGACTGGCACGAGCTGTCCCACTCTGAGGGCCCCGGGTTGATGCTTTGCTGCTCAGAAGGAGGCCTCCCAGGTGAATCGAGTGCAGGGGCAATGTGTGAGACGTGGCAGCATGGGCAGCCCCTCAGGAGGGGCGGCAAGGAGGCTTGTAACCACCCTGCCTTTCTGCTCAGCCCCCGAGCAGGGGCAGTACAGCTGGGCCCTAGTGTGGACATAGTCTCACTTAGTTCCTTGAAGTACATTTCAGCTGCAAAGGACAGGGAAGAACTTCTCTACTGCCTCAATCACAAGCTTACGGAGGAGACAAAGCACAGCACAACGTGACCCCAGCAAGAGCTGCTGTGGGGGCACGGCTCTTGTCCTAGGGTTGCTTCCAGCAGGGTGACAGCAACTCCTGATCACTGCCATCCTTCATCGAAGGAATCCCAGACAAACCTGACACAGAGAGAGTGAGATGTGGCAAGGAGGGAGGTGGAGAGGGAGGGAAAGAGAAAGAGGGGGGGAGAGGAAGGTGGCTGCAATTATTTTGCCATAGATTGGCGGGGCCTGCTTTCCCTGTAAGAAGAATGCAACATTTGGGGAAACATAAATAACAGTTGACAAGAGACGGCACCGCAGAGACAGGCAGTAATTGTTTCACCTCCCTCTGTGCCCTGTCCACTGCAGGCTCCCAAGGAACTACCTTTGTATCTTAGCTCGAGGCAGCAGCTCAGGGCCCCTCTGGACCAGGAACAGCAAGAGCCTTAATCATTTTCTACAAGTTTGTCAATTTAACAAGTGTTTGCCCAAGGGGCACCTGTCTTCCTGCCTGCCTCTATTCCTCTCTCTGCTTGTTTGTTTGTGAGCTAGAGCATTCTGGCTGCTATCACCAGCACACCAGCTTCACACAGCCTGGCTCTAAGCAGGATGTGGCCAATACTGGAAGCAGCGTGGTTAACCCCACTTCCAAAGGTTACTCACCGGTATCGTCTCCACTTTCTGCCTTCATCTCTTCTTTCCTCCACCTCTCCCCGACATGAACAGGGGCTCCAACAGACACAGCAGTGCTGCTCCCTCCCTCTGTCCCTGGCTGCCTCCCTGCTCTGCAGGCTGAGCTTACCCCAGGGCAGCTGGAGGTGAGCCCAGCAGAGGGCTGAGCACTGGAAACGCTGCCTTTCAGCCAAGCCCCCGCAGGACCTGGGGCAACACCAGGGAGCTCCGCTTCATCCCATCCTTTTGGAGCAGCACCCTTATAACGAACAGCTCATCCTTACAGCAGAGAGAAGCTTAAGACTTGTCCCACAGCAACAGCAGCTGTGAGAGCATCGTAGTGTCCAACCAAACTTGGCTGTAGTCCTCTGGATACCCAGCCCATCTATACCCTACCTTTCCAGCACTACAGCTTCAGTTATGGCTGATAAAGTCACTCCACTAATAAGGGAAGATTGACTGCAAAACAATCTGTGCTCCTGGTGTTGCTTTGCCTGTGGAGCTGGGCAGGCAGAGCTCAGGCAACAGGACATAACCACAGCCAGGCAGCAACAGGAATCCAAGAAACCTCCCGGCCCCTACCAGTGATTTTTACAGAGGCTGGCCTGGAGCTTTGCGCTCAGGTCTGACTGTCAGTGGTTACAAGGGGAGGCTTGCCTGGACCATGATCCATTTGAGAAAGGAAAGCAAAGGAACTTGGCTGCTTGGGTTGACAGCAGGCAGGTTACATCTCACAGAAACCATATGAAAGTCTCAAGTCGGATGGAAAATCTTCCAGGATGCCCACTTGTTGGCTTTTCTTGATCTTTGAGATGGTGAAACAATGATGCTTTGCAAAAGCCAGAAGCACTACAACAGCTACTGTTGGGATTGTTACCTCTGAGGAGGTATCAGTGTGAATAACAATGAGCCACAGATCCCAATGTTTCACTTCAGCTGCGGGAAGCCTACAGCTGACAGCAGAATTTGTCTCTGTAAGCAGCCCCGTGCTCTCTCCATGCCTGGAACTGCATCACAGCCTCTCCAAGACTCACTGCCCCTGGGCCCTTCACATGCCAGCAGTGGTTTATAATCTCAGCCTCCTCTCCACTGGCAGGCAGGACTTTAAGAAAAATGGGTGCAAAACCCAGGAAATGCGCGTCCTTATTAATCACTGTTAGGGCTGACAGGGGGGAGCCGAGTCTTGGAGCATATCCAGGTGCAGCAAGGAGGGAGTGGGAACTGGAAAGGCCACTTCCCAAACAGCAAACACAGCCCCAGAACAGAGCCCGGGGTGACTCAGATGCAATCAGAGAAGCTGAAGTATGTTCACAGGTTCCTTTTAATCCGACACAAAGATGGACAGGACCAAAGGAGACATCCTGGGGCATTTTCCACCTGCTGCGTGCCAAAGTTGGAGCACGTTTTTCTCTGCAGTGTTCCTCTCTGCGTGTCACTGCTAGGAGAGACCTGAGCAGGATGGAGCAGGGATGGGATATGCACTCCTTCAGCAGTGACCATAAAGAATCCACCAGTGTGGAAATAATGGGGAGATCAGAGGAGGTTTTAGGAGATGGATCTGATTACCCCTGCTCAGTCCTTTCCAAAGAATAGGAACCCATCTCCAGGCTGCCTCCTGGCAGCCTCAGCTGTCCCCTGTAGCCAGGCTTTGACCAGGTACTTCCCACCAAAAGTATTCTCAGGATCTGCTTTCAATTTTTCCCAGGCCAAAGTAGGTG